CAATTACCTACCTATCATTGTTAGTCCTTTCTTAGCCTGATGGCTTAAGGATATCAGAAGCCCAAAGTGGCCAGGGGGATGTCTGTACTTCCAGCTCCTGGCAGGAACACTCCCACTCTGGAACCAAAACCTTAAAATAGTTTTTCATAGTTTACCACTTATCATACTGAGAAATGGATGACAGTACTAGTTATAAATAACCAAATTGATAACCTGACCTGTCTAACTTTTTCTAGATAAGTCCTACTATCTAATGGGTGGTGGGGTAGGGAGTTTATTAAAATAGGACACCAAAAAAAAAAAAAAAATGGTCAAAGAAAGAGCTACAGCAAGCCAAATTATATGCTCTTGAATGCTTAAAAAAAAAAGTAAAATTTATACTCAGTTTACTAAATTTTGTATGATAGATTTTAAAAATAGATTGTGTATAAATTACTAGCTTTTGTCTAAACTGCTATATATTGGTATAAGTAATATTTATTTTCCTATATGAACTGGGGCACTCTCTATTGAGAGCTTTTTATGCAAACAGCCTTCAATAAAGCTTTCCTATCCATTAATCTTAGAGCAATTTAAATTTTTTTTTTAATTGAGACTGTTTTACCCACTCTACTCTTATTAATTCCGTAGTAAAAATCATTAGAAGAAAGCCATAGTGCTTTTTCAGACTATTGGGATTAATTCTTGAAGATGAGAAGAAACAATACTTAACCAATGTAAAATATTATAGATGGCTTAAGAACATTGAAGGTCTTCTCCCAATATAGGAAGTAAACATCTTGGGAAAGATGACAAATTAGAGCATCCAATGTCTGTCATAGGACAAATTAAGTTAACAGAACTCTATCTTAATATTTATGAAACTTATGAAAACTTGAACAGCTGTATGTCCAAAATTATTGGAAATATGGTATCTTAGTTTTGAAGAGGAAAGGCTGAATGTTTTTCATTAATAAAAGAACAAGTCTTTTTTATTTAATGTTTTAGACTTTATTTTTCATGTTGATGCTTTGCCTGCATATATAGCTATGCATCACACACATGCCTGATGCCTGCAAAGACCAGAAGAGGGCATTGGATTTCCTGGAACTAGTGATGAACTGCCATGTAAATGCTGGGATCCTTACCCAAGTCCTCTGAAAAAGCAGCTTTGCTTTTAACTACTGAACCAGCTCTCCAGGATCAGAATAATTCTTAAGATGAGGTTTTTGCTTTATTAATGATACTCTAGAGTATGCTTGAATAACACTTTTTGATAAATTGATGACATATAATTTTACTCATTTGATCTCTGTCATGCTGGTTTGCCGTTGAACACTAAGAAGGCATACACAATCCTTTATGACATACCTGTATACCTGTTTACTTCTTAGATTCTGATCAACCACTTGTTTTGCTAGACTTTGGAATTAGAAGGAGTGTCAAGTACACAGAAGCCAGAGTCATCTTGGCCAGATGGTGTTTGGTACAGATGGATGGTTAGTTGTCATGCAGATCTCCTAGTTGGTAACTTGTTGCTGCCATCTGACTCAAAGAATCCTTCACACACACTGGCTGTCAAAAGCATCTTCTCTTCTGTCTGTTTTAGCTGTCATGTCTGTGCTCTGTACAGAAGTGTTGACAAGACATTACTGTTGTACATTTTCAATGTGGTTGTTAGTGAGTTTTCTGTTTGCAGGGTCTTTGATAGTATTGGAATCCACTTGCTTTGTAATTGTATATTTTTGAATACTGTGACTGTGCATTGTTTTATTTTTCTGATCTTTTAGAAAAATTTTATGCTATTTGTTTATTCATAATTTGATTGTTTTTTTTTTTTTAATGTAAGTAAACTTGTTTTACTTACTTTTCAAGCATCAAAAGCCAGGTCATTGTCTCTCCATTCCTTCAGGTCATTTTTGAAGGCATATCTATTTCTCAGATAACTCATTAACAATTTAATTAGCTTGTTATTCAGTTAATATGTATGGAGCATCTCAGTATATGCCAGACACTATGTGATACTAGAGATTACAGTAACAAATATTCTCTTCCCATCAGATATGTAGACAGACTAGAATACTATAAACACCTTAACTAAATGAAAAGTACAGGACATGCTCTATTTGTTCAGTTACACTTAAGCAGATTTGGCATTAAAATACATTTTCATCTGATTTAAGAAATAGTTCAAGACTTCTGTGTGAAATAGCCATTGACATATTAACTTTCCCAGCTATTGAATACATTATTTATTATAATATGTTATAAGCAGATGTGCTGAAGTGTGTCTTTAAGCTAGAGAGAGGAAGATGAAAATTAATTGGCAGAAGTGTTCTGAGTTGATTCCAAATGAACATACATGGTCTTTTGGTTTCTTCACTAAAATTTGGGAGGGAGCATAATAGATGAAGAATGGGCTGAGACTTGAATAATTTAGACATTTATTCTCAGCCTATCTCTAATTAACTAGGTTTTTAAAAAGTTGTTACTTGCTCACTAAACAGCAATAGGATTTATATAACCATTGTGATAATAGTGAAAATGAGGCAATTATTGAAATTACTTATAATCATTGAATACAGTGAATTTTTCCATTTTCCAGCTCTAGTCATGCTTTTCCTCAGAAGCAATAAACCCTTGTGAAAAGAACAGGGAGAGTACTGTTTAAGTTTCTCTTCACATTGGTTTTAGTATTGTTTCTTAGCCTAAATTGATTCTTAGTATCTCATCAATAAATTTAATATAAATTGAGGTCCAGATGTGATGGGAGATGTCATTCTGTATATGTTTCTCATACTGGTTAATGAATAAAACACTGTTGGCCAATAGGAAAGGAAGATAGGAGGGACTAGGAGACAAGGAGGAAATAGGAAGTAGTAAAGGAGTCAGGATGGAGAGCCTGGAGAGAACAGAACCGCCATTCCTCTGCTCTCGGTAAGACCACGTGGAAATACATAGAAATGGGTTAATAATTAAGACAGAGCTAGCCGATAAGAAACTAGCACCTGGCCAATAGCATTGTATCAAATACAGAGTCTCTGTGCATTATTTGGGGCTGGCGCGGTGGCGGGACAAGACCAGGCAGCGGGCAGAAAAACCACACTCCCTATACAGATGAATACTACATAAAAGAGTAGAATGGACTTTTTTCAGAGATATCATTTGAAATACAAACAATAAACAGGACAATATTAGGTGTGTTGTAATGTTTATGTTACATTATTGTGCATTTTTAATATTATTTATCATCTTTCACATGCAGAAAGTTAAAGTGTAGCTATGTGTGCTCCCACACACCTAAATATCTTTGGTATTTCACCTTTTCTATTTCTCTTTCAAGGATCATATTTAGACCATTATCCATATAGCCTCTTGGTAATTTACACCATGGAAACTGTGACATCCTCCCTGTATTTACTTTCACTACAAATACAGAATCAATACTTACTTCTCTTAGTTTATTATACATAGCTACTTATCTAACTTGGATAATACTTTATTGGTTTCATGCAATAAATGTTTTTTGGTTGATGTCAAAAAAAAAAAAGAAATTACTTACTGATGTTTATGAAGAATTTTGAGTTCTTTGAAATAAAAGTATCCTAAATGCATAAAGTATATTTAGATGACCTTAACATATTGCTGACTCTCCCACCTCAGGAAGAGTACATAGCCCAGATAATTTTAAGGTATCAAGAATTAACTGTAATGTTGGTATCATTTTTGTAGTCAGTTTACCACACTCATTCCAGCAACTTTGGTGCCAATGTATGTAAAGAATAAGATGTCTTATTCCAGGATGCTTGGTTCTGAATGTCTAGGGTTTGATATTTAGGGCTTGAATTCTATAAGGCTTAGACTCATCATTGGTTCCTTCTTCTGCTTATAATAATCAGCATATATTTAACAACATTTGGGGAGTCCTGTGGGGGGAATGTCAAGTTATGTAAGACTCCCCCCACACAACAGAGAAAACTAACATGCCAGTGTGGTTACTTGCCTGCCCTGTCAGTTATTCATATTTAAAGTGTCCTGTGTATAAAAGTCCATCTTTTATTTGAGTGTGTTACTTTTCTTTAATTTCTTAAAGTTGTATTTGAGACTTAAGGAACAGATCTTTATTTATAAAGAACTTTAGTCTTACTTGGGATCTGAAAATAATATAACTTCATTAATTGTGAACTTGTGATTTAGTCAATAAAAGAAATTAAATATCTAATATATACCAAAGGTTGCTGTAATTATTAGAACCCTTTTCATATTTTAAGAAATTTATATTTAGTCACTTGTTCCTCCAGTGGTAGAAAGCAGCAAAGACTTTTATATTATGCTTTCTTAAGATAGCTTTTAAGAATTTACTAATGAGTTAATTGTGATACAACAATTTCAGATTTCTCTTGAAGGTTGGCACATCTATATGTGTATACTTCTAATACATATGTCATTTTCATTGTTGTTTTCACAGCCAATATTATAAAATACAAGGGGATTCTATCACTTAAAATCTATAAATAATAGTTTTATATAATAAAAATGAACTCTTGTGTTCTTGTTTCTGGCTACTATTCTTTTAGAATTTATATTCGTTCTTAGAATTTATATTCGTTCCTTTGCTTTTCATTATATTTACTTCTAGCTACTTCTTTTTGTGATTTTGTACTCTAAAAATTAATTTCAGTGCTTATTTTAAAGACATAAAAGTTTAAGACTGGTATGTATTTTAAAAGTGTAATTTTAATGTGGCATCTACTTAACCATTCATGCTTTTTTCTCATTTACAAGTATTGAATTTCAAATTATAATATTTGTCTTTACTGAAAGATCAAGAAAACTCTAGACTAAAATCTTTAAATAAGGTAATTTTTAAAAGTTGTATTCTACTGATATGATATGATATGATATGATATGATATGATATGATAATGATCCCAAGTAAATCCCTGGAGCCAGTCAGTAACTGGTAAGTTATCAATAGACAGGAAATGGTTTCTCAGGCTAACTGGGTTTTTTTTTCTTTAGACCGAGACCTATGAACAAAGAATACGTGAGCAACAAGAACAGCTGTCATCTCAACAAACTCTTATTAACAACCTAAAATCACAGCTACTTAAGGATTCTTGTCGAGGTATTTCTATCTTCCTTTCTTCCTTTTAAAATGTATTTCTGGAAACTTTTTAGAGAAAAGGTACAATTTAAGTTTTTCTGTTTTGTTTTGGTTTTTAAAGTGGTTCTGATGCAAGAAGCATAGTACAGCTATATATCATGTTTATTTAATTGAAACTTGTAAGACATGGGGAAGTGGGCACTCACATATTCTATAGGCTGAAACCCTGATTGAGAAAACTTCCTTGAAGGCACTTTGCCAATGAATAACAAAAAGCTTTTTAAAAAGTTTGTGCCTTTGAGATGAAAATAGAAGCCCTAAGAGTATCTAAGACATCTGAGCTTCCAGATATCTGATCATGTACTGTGCCCAGAAAGGTACAGAAGCTTTGTGCCCTTCCATATTCCTTGCCCTGTGCATCTCTCCCTTTAAATGCCCTTTGAATGAACCAATCAATAATCCAAAAAGGTACAGTATCCAAAAGTTAAGTTATAGTGAACAACTGTATAGCCAAGGAACGCAGTGATAATAGTTGTTAACTTACCAACAGGAAATATGTTCATGATATGCAGCAAAGTAAAGACAGTAAGATACAAAATATATATAAAGTATTTCATGTGTACAGAAAAGCATTGTTTGAGTTTATATGTAGAATAAAAAAATATAAAATATAAACCACAATGTCAATAAGAGTAGTTCACACGTGATAAAAATTAGATAGCTTTTTTGTTTTTTTTTTAATAATTTAAAATTTTTTTTTATTTATTTATGCCTGTCTGCCTGTTTATGTGTCTATGTCACGTGTGTGTGCCCTGTACCCACCAAGACCAGAAGAGGGTGTTGGAGTTAATAGATGGTCATGAACCACCATGGGGGTTCTAGTAAGCAAACCCACGTCCTCCAGAAGAGCGTCAGGTGCTCTCAACCACTGCGCTCTCTTCAGCCTCCAGTTCCTTTTTCTTTTTGTCATAGCTTCCTTTCTAATGTTCTATAAGCAAGAGGTTTTTTTTGTTTTGTTTTGTTTTGTTTTGTTTTTTAAGTATAATTGTCTCAAATAAGAAATGCATACCAAAAAGTATAAAAGTTTAATTGGCCTGGGAGTGTAGCTGTGGTGGGACACTTAGCTAATGCATCTTGGGCACCATTCCACTCCTCAAAAAAAAAAAAAGGCCCTAAAAATGTTTAACTTTTGATAAAGTAAAATGTAAGGAGCTTAATTAATTCTAATCTTCTGAATTCTGTATATTTTTACCATTGACTCATGGGAAAATAAGTGTTTAGTGGGAAGGAAAAACTCTAAATGAACAACTTCTTGCCAAGGTAAATATTATATAAACATTGAATATTATAAAACTAGAGCTTATAATTTATTCTTTTAAAATTATTGAGATTTGGTTTTGTTTGATTATTTTTGTTTATTTGTTTGATTGGTTTGTTGGTTTGTCATTGTTTGGTTGTGGGTTTTTTGAGACAAGGTCTCACTGTGTAACTCTTGACTGTCCTAGAACTCATTTTGTAGACCAGGTTGGCCTTAAACTCACAGAAATCCACCTGCCTCTGCCTCCCTAGGACTGGTATTAAAGGCAGGCGACACTATGCCTGGTTTCATTTTTTTATTATAATTACCTTTTCAGGACTTTGAACTGATGTACAAGTATTTTGTCTTGCAGATAACAGTTATGGCTATTTGCTTGAAGACAGTGAAAGAAGGAAGAATAATTTGACTCTTGATGAACCACATGATAAAGTGAAGCTAGGAACACTGAGAAATAAGCAGTCAAAGGTAGGAAGTACTGTCAGACTCATTATTAAGAGAGTTAGGCTACACAGACGTACAGGTTATTTAGGCTGAATGCTCTCACAATTTGAGTGGGCAGACTATAGGAAGAAAGTAGGTAGATAGTTTTTTTTTTGTTTTGTTTTTTGGTTTTTTGTTTTGTTTTGTTTTGTTTTTTAGTTTTTTTGTTTTTTGTTGTTTTTTGGTTTTTGGTTTTTTTTTTTTTTTTTTTTTTTTTTTGCCCTAACATTGCTTCTGTAGAAATCAGCATTAAATGTTGATATACAGTATATCTTCCTTGTTTCATCTTTCTTAGGCAGTGACCTGCCACTGAAATCTTTTTTTAAGAAAAAATTTTTAATTAATTTTATGTGTATATATGTGTGCACCATATCCATGCCTTCAGAGGTCAGAAGAAGTATCAGATCTCCTGGAACTAATTATAGATGGTTGTGAGCCACTGTTTGGGTACAGGGAACTAAACCAAGATTCACTGTAAAAGCAGTAGTGCTCTTAACCAATGAGCTAGCTCTCTCTAGTCCCTATGTTACTGTTTTTAATTTTAAGTGGGTATCTGTATGTGGATACATGCACATGATTATAGATGCCCATGGAGGCTGGATGCATTAAATCTCCTTGCTCTGGAGTTACAGTTGTGAGCTATATGAAGTAGGTGCTAGGAACCAAACTCAGGTCCTCTGTAAGAGTAGTACATACTATGTACTGATGAACCATTTCTCTCCAGTCCCTTCCCACTAAAATTCTAAACAATTTTCTATGTCTGTAAACATGACATATCCTCCTGTGTAGAATTACTTAATTTAAAATAAAGCTTAAGCTTCATATTTCCTAGTGTTTTTCTTAAAGATTTGTTTGTGTATGTCTGCACGTTAGTATGCCCTTATTGTGTATGGGTGTGTGTGCCTGTTACACACATACAAGAGCTAGAAGAGAGTACCAAGTATTCTACACTATTAACTCCTTGCCACTATTAAGGTTATTTGTGTTTTATGTGTGTGAATATTTTGCCTGCATGCCTTTGTATATACCACATGCATGCCTGGTACCCATTGAAGTCAGAAGAGATCATCAGATCCCCTGAACTGGAGTTAAGGATGGTTGTGAACCACTATGTATAGGTCCTGGGTATCAAACTTGGGTTTCTGAAACAGCAACAAATGATCTTAACCACCGAACCATCTCCCCAGCTCCAGAGGCAGGGGGAGAGTGGTGTTTCCCTGAATCTGGGGCTTGCATTTTCTGCTAGGCTGGAAGCCAAAAAGACCCAGAGGCCACCTTCCACCTCCCTTGGTACTAGGGTTGCAGGTACTGTGCTTGTTCTTTGAGTACTAGCAGCAGACCTCCAGTTCTCATGATTGCACCTGCGCACTCTACTGAGCCATCTCTCTAGGCTCCCTAGTGATTCCCCATCCCCTTGTATCATGACCATTTAATGAAGTGAAGTTTTAACAAAGCAATAAAACTTTAAACTGAGGTGGACGGTGAGACAAATGTTATGAGTAGTTTTCTTGCCAGCCTGGTCCCACAGCCATGTCAGCTCCAAATAACACACATAGATGCTGTATTAGATACAGCTGTTGACCTGTTACTAGCATTTCTTATTGGCTAGCTCTGTCTTAAATATTAACCCATTTCTATCAATCTAAGTGTTTCCACATGGTCTTACCAGAGAGAGGATTCGGACCTCTGCGCTCTTGGTCCTACATGTTGACTCTCCTCATACCTCTCCCCAAATCCTCCTTGTCTCCTAGTCCCACCTATCTTACTTTCCTATTGGCCAACAGGGCTTCATTCATTAACCAATAAGAAAAACATATTTACAGAATGACATCTCCCATCAGACAAATGATCTTAGATTTAAATTGTTTTCTACTTTTTTCATCAACTTCCTTTGTTTGGCTAGCTTATTTCCAAAGAATTAATAATTCTGTGCCAGTTACACTGTATTTGTGGACAGACCATGGGAAAGGCCCAAAGAAATAAGCTCTGGGTAAGGAGCAAAGTGATTTATCATCATTATCCTTGTTAATACAAGAGACATATGTGATGTACATATTTTAATTCTTTGAATAGCTCATGAATTTCATTTTCTTGTGCTGTAACCATTTAATGTAAATAAAATCAGGCTGTATTTTAAATTTATCTTATGTATCTTAATCCAACGGGCTAATGAACACTGAATACATAAACAAGAAATCTATTCTTTTTTATATTCATATTTATTTTTCTTTTCAAAATGTTTCTAATTAAAACTAATTACATCACTTTCCTCCTTCCAGCCCTTCTTAGCTATCCTCTCTTGACCACTCTTGTGAACCCCCTTTCTTAAGCTGATAGCTTTTTTTCCTTGATTACTATTATATACTACATATATATATATATATATATATATATATGCATACATATACATATATACATTCCTTGACTATATATACACATACATACAGATATACATACATACACAGCATGCTGAACCTATTTTTATTTTTGTGTGTATATGGTTTCAGAGCTGACCATTCTGAGTTGGACAACCAATAACAGAACTCATCCCTGAGAGCTCAAGGCTATTTCTCCCTCTTTCGTCAGTCATTAGTTGTCTCTAGTTCTTTGTGTAGGGGTGGGACCCCACACTATTTTCCTTCACAAGTTAACATGTAGGTTGGTCTGCCATTGTTCTGGTCTTATTTATGCATCCATTTGTAGGAGAGATGTTTCACAGCTGACTCTCTGCTATTCTGGTTCTTACAGTTTTTCCACCCCCTCTTCCATTATGTTCTCCCATAGATGCAGGAATAGTGATGTAGAGGAATCTGTCAGGGCTGGGATCCCTACTATGTTGTGGTTTGCTGTGATGGTTTCCATTTGCTGTAGAGAGAAGCTTCTTTGATTTATGGTACCTACACTTACTTACCTGTGGGTATAAGGATAAGACTTAGAATGTAGTAAGGAATTATTGTGGTCTGAGGTCCATGACCTCACTAGCCCCAGGAAGCTGGCTAGATTTCCAGTACCAGGCATGATTTTCTTAGGCCTTAAGTCCTATTATACAACTGTTGATTGCCACTGACATGTAAATGCCCCTTATTGAACCTCTATGTATATCTTGCCATGATGGTAATTGTCATGGTTCATAGGTATTACAGCTATCTAATTGCATCCCTCCCTTGACATCTTGTGTATTCTGGAGCCAGGGAAGTGAGACCAGAGGAAAGAGGCCTTCAGGTGCGATCCAGCTTGAATTCCAGGTCCAGTGTCCTAAGTGTGAGGTGTCTCCAACCCACCTTCAACTCCTGAGAGAAAACCAAGGGCTTCATCTGTATTGTTTGGGGAGTCACTTGGACTATCCTAACCAACCTTTCAAAAGGAGGGTTTCTTATAGCTGGTGCTGGGGTTTTCTTAGTTTGTGGCTCTTGAGGGAAGCATTGTCAGCCCACATGGCTTACCTTCCTTCAGTATGTATGAATATTATTATGTATGCATATATACTTATATACCATATAAATTTTAGGTAAATATAAAATATTATGATTCCTTGATGCTGTCTCAAACAGTCTTGGTGTTATTTGTCCGCAATTCTCCTCCCTCTGTTGTGCTCCCCTCCCTGTTACTCCTTTTGCCATTTCATATCACCTGTATTCTTCTACCCACTGCCTCCCCACACACACAATGATTCCTTTGTACTTTTTGGTTTCTGTGGTTACTCCACGTTGTATACTCCCTTCTCAGGATTTGAAGCTAGGGACCAAAGATGAGTGAGAACATGGTGTTTGTCTTTCTGGGTCTTAGTTATCTTTCTCAGTGTAATCTTTCCTAGGACTTTTCATTTACCTGAAAATTTCATGATTTAATTTTTCCTATAGATGAGCAGTATTCTATGGTGTATATGTACCATGTTTTCATTATCTATGTTGTTAAAGGTTATTTAAGTTGTTTCCATTTTCTGGCTTTGTGAATAGGGTGGCTGTGAACGTACCTGAGCAAGTATCTGTGATGTCAGGTCCTCTGGGTATGTGCCAAGCAGTAGTTAAGCAGAACATATGGTAGGCTTATTTTTAGTTCTTTGAGAATTCTCCATACTAGTTTCCAGAATGGCTGCACCAATTGCCTTTCTGCCAACAGCGAGTGAGGCCTCTCCTTTCACTACAACTTCACCAGCATTTTTTGTCAGTTGTTTTGCTGCTCTTAGCCATTCTGACTGGGGAAGATGAAATCTCAAAGTAATTTCATTTTACACTTCCCTGATCACCAAGGGTAACAAGTACCTTTTGAAATATTCTTAGGCGTTATTATCTCTTCTAGTGGAAACTGTTTAGATCACTAGTCCACTGGGTCATTTGTTCCCTTGACTTTTTTTTTTTTTTTCCTGTTTTTCTTTTTCTCCAGCTCTTTATATATTCTTGATTTAATCTTCTGTCAGATATATACTGGCAAGAATACTCTCCCATTCTGTGGATTTCATCTCTTACTTGATTGTTTGATTGTTTTCTTAGCTATGCAGAAGCTTTTTAATTTTATGAGTTCCCACTTGTCAATTGTTGGCCATAATTTCTGAGCAAGTTGAGTTCAACTCAGAAAGTCCTTTCCTATACCTATACCTTATAGGCTACCACCTATACTTTCTTCCAGCAGTTTTAGTGTTTCAAGTTTCAGATTTGAGGTCTTTGATCTATTTGGGGTTTTGTTTTTGTTTTTCAGGATGATAGATATCTAATTTCATTCTTCTGCATGTGGACATCAGTTTTTCCCAGCACCATTTGTTAAAGATGCTGTCTTTTTGTTTTGTTTTGTGTTTTGAGACAGAGTTTTTTTGTGTAGCCCTGGCTGCCCTGGAACTCACAGAGATCCACCTACCTCTGCCTCCCAAGTGCTGGGATTAAAGGCAAGTGCCACCACCGCCCAGCTAAAGATGCTGTCTTTTTTCGTGTATGTTTTTTTGCTTTTGCCAAATATCATATGACTGTAGTTAAGAGTACTCATGTTTGGGT